ATTGTTATTTTGTCTTGTTCTTTGCAATGGTATTGTCTGTGTTTATTTGACCTTCATTTTTGTACCTTTTCTCTTTTTTAACGTTTGAAAATAATTAGGCATGTTTATCAAAGTCATTCTGATATCAATAATGAAAAGTTCCACTCGTGTTTGTTTTGATAAAATCTTTCATATCGAATTAGGATAGGTATGTCGGTATCTTGAATAAGTTTTAAGCATGGAATTTTCTGAATTTCTTTCATGAAAGTGTTAAAATACCTAAACTTTATTTCAGCGAAAGACTTGGTAGATTCATTTACAGAAGAACCTCCTCTAGTTTACCATATATTTATAATATCGTAAAATCTAATCTCGCGCAATCATTTATGAGACTTCTTGAAAATTGCTAAAGTTTAATACTAAATGGATTGGTTTAAGTATACGTATATGCATTTGATTAAACCAGGGTTGGCAAAAACCCGGGTTTTATGAGTATTGCCCAGCCCAGTGGGAAATACTGGGATAACACGGGTTTTACAGGGTTTAACCGGGTAATACTGGACAATATTGGGTAATATGAAATACAAGTCTGAATGTTTTAAGAGAAGCTTTATATAGTCAGTGCTTAATTTTAAATGCAATATATATAAAATACACATGATATATGTAAAAAATTATACTTTAATTTTTAAGTTCATTTTTTTACAAATTTTAGAAAGTATTGGTCCAGCAACTCTAAGAAATATAAATTCGAACAGTTTTCTTATTATGATTTATAGATAGTCCTCCAAAACATTTATTAAATTGCTATTTATTCTGTCTAAATTGGTAAAACTTAAAGCCATTAAGCCATAGTCAATTTTGTAAACAATTAACTATTAGTAAGGAAATTGGACTTTTCAACAATTTTGTTATTCAATTGCTGAAAGTGTTTACACAATTTTAACATACTTACATATAAATCACTAATTAATAAGTGATTATTCAGATTTGTTTTTACTGCATTAATTATCTTTACAAATGTGGGTGACATGTTCCCTTAGGGTGTTTATTTAGCAATATAATGTGTAGCAATTAAGATTTACACTAGAATTAATTTCTTCAAAATTTGGCAACTAAAAATTTGCACAACATAATTGTAATTTTGTCTTGAACTCTATCCTTTTTTTTTTGAAATTTATAGAAATTTATATGTGACGTCACATTGTGCGTCGATCTCTTCGGCTAACATATAATACGTTGTTCGGCTGTGCCTTTTTTATGTGCTGATTTAGGTTGTTTTGCGTATTTGTTTTTATTCTGTAGTTAGTCACCACTTCGGTGTTAACATGTATATCTATTATATAGCCATTTTTATAAATTTACTGTTTGCAAAAGTATGAATTATTCTAAATACTAAGGGTTTTCTTATCCCAGGCATATAACCTTAGCCATATTTTGCACAACTGTTTGGAACTTTTGGTCCTAAATGCTCTTCAACTTTGTTCTTGTTTTGGCTTTCGAACTTTTTTGATCTGAACGTCACTGATGGGTCTTGTGTAGACGAAACGCACGTCTGGCGTATTGAATTATAAGCCTAGTACCTTTTGATAGCTATTATTTGTGTGTGTCTCTGTCCTGTATGTCCTCCCATTTATTTGTATTGTAGTCCTGTAATGTAATCTTGTCATTTTAATGTTATATTTAACATTGCCATAAAAGCGGGAGGTTTGGCTAGCCACAAAACCAGGTTTAACCCACCATTTTTTCTTAAAATGTCCTGTACCAAGTCAGGAAAATGACCATTGTTATATTATAGTACGTTTCTGTGTGTGTTGCATTTTAGTGTTGTGTTTCTGTTGTGTCGTTGTTCTCCTCTTATATTTGATGTGTTTCCTTCAGTTTTAGTTTGTAACCCGGATTTGTTTTTTTCTCAATCGATTTATGAACTTCGAATAGCGGTATACTACTGTTGCCTTTATTTTTCCTATATAGAATTATCGGAGACAAGGAAGAATTGAATTTTTTATCCTCTGAAATTGACTCTCTAAGTTTATCTGTATTAGATGCATATATTTAGCAAAGATACTATAAAACTACAGTATTTCTTTACTTTTCTGTGTAAAAATAAGCTTAAATAATCTTATTGCCCAGTATTTAGATATAAGAAGATGTGGTATGAGTGCCAAGGAGACAACTCTCCATCCAAGTCAAAATTTATAAAAGTAAACCATTATAGGTCAAAGAACGGTCTTCAACACCGAGCCCTGGCTCACACCGAACAGCAAGCTATAAAGGGCCCCAAAAATTACTAGTGTAAAACCATTCAAACGGAAAAACCAACGGTCTAATCTATATAAAAAACGAGAAACGAGAAACACTTATGAACCACATCAACAAACGACAACTACTGAACATCAGATTCCTGACTTAGGACAGGTGCAAACAATTGCAGCGGGTTTAAACGTTTTAATGGTACCAAACCTTTACCCTTTTTCTGAAACAATAGTGTAACATCACAACATAGAAAGACACACTATAAAATATCAACAGAAATGGCTTAACTCAATCAAAGGACATTTTAACACCAGTGAACATACACTGAACAAATAAATTTGACCTACGATACAATGTAAATACAAAATAAACAAAGTAAGGGAAGAAGAATAAAAGTAACATGTTATAACGCTATGAAATGTTAAACAATTGAAGAAAACCAATATGCTCGAACAAAAATATCAGCCATTTGCAATTACTTTAAACACAGGTAAATGAAAATAAAATTGTTGTTAGGTATACGTGTACAGTTCAAATAGAGAAAGGAAATATTTATACAAAATAAATAATTTTGATGTTGATAGTACGAAGTGAAAATTTATAGTAATACCAAACACTTATCAAAGCTGGTATATAGACCAGATATAACCCTGAATAACATTAAATAACAAAAAAGCATTACAATTAGTATCAACAGGTCAAATAAACAAGATAGTACGATTTGAGAGTACTCGCAGTTACTGACAGATAGTTTAAAGCCAAAAACAATTAATAATAAAAAAATCATGCATCAGAGACTAAAATCAACTAAAACACATCCCAGGGATTTAGTATTTTAACGTCATGGACAGTCAAAGAAGACATGACTTGTGCAATGCCAAAAATAAATGTATCGACAGGCAGTAGGATAGTTAGAGGTTTAACCTCTTTATAGATCAAAATGAACGTGGGTGTGTTTTTATACATCCCGTTTGAAAAGAATACAAATTTAGTTATGTTTTAATTTGCTGATGACAAAATCGATATTAGTGCCAATGTAAACTATATTCAAAGATCTAATTACAACATTGGTAAGATAACCTTTACTAATAATAGTTATCAAAGGTACCAGGCTGATAATTTTGATACGCCAGACGCGCGTTTCGTCTACATAAGACTCATCAGTGACGCTCCGATCAAAAAAGTTAAAAAGCCAAACAAGTATAAAGTAATAGTTTGTTTAAAGGTTCGATGAGTTTACACGGATCACATAGTGATTTCCGCGCTTAAAGTACAATATTACCGTAAAATTTAGGATGTGAAATACTGTTTTTAATCAGTTTTCTACAGGTACAGCCAAATTTACTAATCAAATCTTTGTATCTATGAAACAATTTAGTAAAAGTATTACGTAATTTATGGTAAAGAAATCCCTGACTTAATAATTTACCATTGATGCATTGATTACGTTCGTTAAACTATATAACATCACTACACACGGGCATAACGAACGAGTTGGGATATATAAACACCGTATGATGGAGCCAAAGGAACATCGCCGTCTAAAAAAGGAAAATTAACAATAGGGAATGCAAAGTCGTCTCTTTTGTCGTAAATTTTCGTATGGAGTTTTCCTTTAGAGATTGAAATGTCCAAATCTAGAAAAGGACAACTACTGCTGTTTATGTTAGATTTAGTTAAAGTAAGTTCTATTGGGTAAATTTCGGTAGTATATTTAGAGAACTCTGGATTATTTAACGAAAAAATATTATCTAGATAACGGAAGGTATTGTAGAATGTATCAACCAAATGTAACAATGACGTGTCTTTACTGAGTTTGGTCATAAACTGAGATTCATAGCAATACAGGAATAAATCTGCTATTAAAGGGGCGCAGTTAGTGCCCATAGGAATACCTACTACCTGTCGATACACTTTATCGCCGAAACGTACATATATGTTGTCCAGGAGAAAATTTAAAGCTTCAATCATATCTTTACATTTCCAGTAAGTGTATCTAGCATACTTTCCTTTTTCGTTACAGAAAAGGCTTTAAACGAGTTACAGCAAATAAATTTGTAATGAGTTTTTTCAAAAGACCATTTAATTAAATATGAAAACTTTGTCTTGATAAGATTGTGTGGAAGTGTAGCATAGAGAGTAGAAAAATCATAACTGTCAACAGAATTAAAAGGACCATCAAAAGCATCTATTTTATCTAAAACCTCTAAAGAATTTCTAACACTCCAAAAATAATTAATATCATTATTTTCATAAGCTTTATTCCAAACAAAAGTTAATAACAACTTCTTTGATAGTAGTAAGGGAGGTAGTTAGAAGCACTGGTAGATTGGTAGTAGAACACTTACTAGATGCGGAGATGAAACGGAATTTAAATGGTTTCTTGTGCAATTTAGGTAACCAGTACATAGTAGGGACTTTCAAATGTTCGGAAGAGGCTTTAAGCTGGGTAGTGGCAGTGATATGCAGTATTACCCATTTTAGGGAGTATTGCCCAGCCCGGGAAAACCCGGGTAATACTTTGCCAACCCTGGATTAAACATGCGAGTAATCTTCTGTTTACTCCAACAACAAAATTTCATCATAAATAATTCAAATTTAACACATGTTTTATCACCAACCGGAAATGCATTAAACTGCTAAGTTCGAAATATAATTAAAGTATTAGTTGTTTCGCTTTTATTGAGAATAATATGTCCAAACGGAAATTGACGTAATGTGAATAGCATTTCAAAAATACATTGTTATTTGTTTTTTTGGTATAGGTTGTAAATCTGCCCTCTCCACACGGTTTATGCAGTAGCAGAGAGCTGGATTATATTGACAGATACTCACAAGGAGCTTGTAAACTGGACTGTCTATCACATACTGCTGCACAAATGTGTGGATGTAGACATATTTACATGCCATCAAAAGACGGTTTGTTTTTAGCATTTAAAAACATTCGCTCATTATTATAACAAAGAGAAGGGAAAATATGTTTCTAATACATGAATATGTAAGAACGCAAACCTTGTCACATGGATTTAGTTGATTTATTTCAAATATGTGAGCCTCTTATTTTGGTTCCTGTTTAATTGAAGTATACCCCAGATCTGCTTCCGGTTTCAAATTGTTTTAGTTGACCTACAATGAGAACCCCAAGGGATTATTGAAAAAATAGTTTCCTGATCCAATTTTAATTTCCTAAAAATTGAAGATTTAATTTTCTATCATATTGCAACCTTAAAAACAAACCTTCAGTTTTATATGTTTTATAACCAATACGCAATTAAGAATCATGGTTTAAGACTCTCACCTTTAATGCATTTAGTGAGAATGTTTAATTCATCAGATCATGTTACTTATCACTTAACATGGCTATCGTAACACAGGCGTTATGGACTACTAATTCTGTAAAGACTCTAAAAACTTCTGTAAAGGTCATAGAGTGGCTAAACGTGGAAAACAATAACAATACATTAATAAATGCCACTACTGTTACAACATGTGTAAAAAAGAAAACTATTCAAATGAATCAATAACAAAACTCTTAAAAAATCATATTACATGTATGGTACAGATTTTGACTGAATGATCGAGTGATCATGTATATTGTTTACTCTTCAATACTATTTAGTCATTTTAATATCATTTAGTCATTTTAATATTATTTAGACATTTCAATATTATTAAGACATTTCAATATTATCTAGACTGTTACATACTCCAGCAGTAGAACAAAACTCAAACACAAAATTATAAAATGTTGAAGAAAATTATATTTGTTTTAGGTTACCCACCAGTTTGCACGATCAAGCAATACTACGGCTGCTTAAAACAGATATTGGGTATGTGATACAATGAAGTTGCGTGGCTAAAAATTAAGAATGTCAGGCATTGTTGTAATTATTTTTTTCACATCGCACAGGAGCATTTTCATTCACTTGGCGGACATCCCCAAAAACAATAAGTCAAATTGTTGCAAACTTTATTCTTATTTATCGGGAGACTTTTTTTTCAAAACTATAAAAACAAGTTTCCTTAAAATCAGCACAGTCCACTGATGAAAATAGAGCATACTGTTTGACATCCCCCCCCCACAAAAAAAAACCCAACAAAAAACTCCGAGGGTACCAGGGGTTCAAAAATTTAAATACGTTTTTCGATGTGAGGTGTATGTATACGTCAAAATGAATGTGTCACTCTTTCTGTACATTAAACGACCCTTTTAACAAATCTTTAAGGGGTCTGTAGTGACTTTTTGGATGGTAAATGTCTATTCTTATCAACCATTTACTAATTTTCATGTTGAATTCCTTATTACCCACCATTCATCCCAGTCGACCCAATTGCATTTGTGATAAGATTGATATTTTATTTTATTTTCTCGTCCTTAAGGGAGCGGCGAAGGATACCATAGGGACAATCAAACTCATAAGTCGAAAATAAACTGACAACACAATTGCTAAAAGAGAAAATGACAAACAGACAAACAACTGTACACAAAGCACAACATAGAAAACAAAAGATTGAGCAACACGAACCCCACAAAAAACTGGGGGGAGGGGGATATCTGAAAACGATTTATGAGCATTTTTTTTTTGATAAACATTTTTAATCGCGTTTGTGCATTTGTGGCGAACAATCCTATTTGATGACACAAACTTGTATCGTATCCATAAACCAGAAGTGTTAACCAAGGTATAGGAATTCGGTCATCCCTAGATCTCCTTCCATCAAGCAAAAACACTTTGGGTGTACATAATTAATAAATTACACAGGCATGTCCAAAGCCTGAAGCATCAAAAGCAGTAAGCAATATAACTTTATTATGAAGATAATTTTAATTAAACTTTTACGGTAATTATTACTTAGATTTTTTCAATTTGCCAATAGGAAATGGGAAAGACAGACGTGTACTTACTTTGATGTATATTCTAAGAAAACAATGTCCATATATACTAATTAGTTTTTAAGATTTGTCCCCACATGATCCATTTTGGAAAAATTGCGATTAAGATTTATAATTGACTAGGATCTTGCACTTTTTGGGGAAAGTGGTAAAATTAACCAGGTTAAACATCGTGTCAAAAATTGAACTTATACGACAGTCAGCCAGAAAGGGACTAACTCGAGAAAGTAGATAAAAAAGAATATGTCACGATCTTTGCAAGTTACAAAATCCTGTATCTAAGCTACAAAAGAGCAGGCCATTCACTTTTTTTAATTCACAGCAATTGAAATAACAGAACATAAAAATGTAACTCAGATACATTTTGTGCTTCTTTGTTAAATGTTTGTTTGCTTTGAGATGACTGCTGTACCCATATTTTGACAATGTTACCTATTATGTCTGTTTTGTTCACGCATCGTTGTAAATATAATGGAATTTGATACGACTGTCATACAAGTGAGAGGTTTAGCGCTATAAAACCAGGTTCAATCCACCATTTTCTACATTTGAAAATGCCTGTACCAAGTAAGGAATATGACAGTTATTGTCCATTCGTTTGATGTGTTTTATCATTTGATTTTGCCATTTGATTAGAGACTTTCCGTTTTGAATGTTCCTCGGAGTTCAGTATTTTTGTGATTTTACTTTTTGGTATTGCACAATTAAAATTAAGAAAATAAGGAGATGTGGTATGATTGCCAATGAGACGACTATCCACCAGAGACCACGTAAATAAGGTAGATGTTAACAAGGATAGGTTACCATACGGCTTTCAACAATGAACAAAACCCAGACCCCATAGCAAGCTATAAAGGGCCCTGACATGACAAATGTAAAATGATTCAAACTAGAAACCAACGAAAGTCTGTATCCAAACATCAAGGTATATTTATCAATTTATACATTACTGAGAAATCACTGGCAATTACCCGTTATTTTCTCCCCAAGAGCAAATTGATTATTCATTTGACTTTCAAGCATGATACACATGTTTGCCTTGACGTATTGACTGTTATAGATTTTTGCTAAATGTCTATTAGTACCAATATGGTTTTTGATTCAGTTAATACATAGTTTTGTATTCTGAGTTAGATAGTCCTTTCATCAAAACAAATAGGCAAATAGAAAATTCAATTGAAATGTGTTAATATATGCTATTTTCTTTCAGCAACTAATAAATTAATAGGTTATCTAAACAAACAATTAAGACTATTGACTTTCTTCTTGTTTAATTGTTCATTATATAATGAATACTAAGTGCTTGCATGATGATGCTTTGATGACACAGTTATATATTTTTATCAGATTATTTATAAATACTTGGAATACCCGAGTTGATATGTACTTAAATGTACTGCATTTTAATCCTAAAGTCAAGAGTTGCGTTTATTTGGTCTAATAATAACGGTATTGATTGCAAATGAGACAAAAATGATCTAAGAACTCAGGGATGACAAGGCTGCAAACAACTACAGGTCGACCAAGGCCCACAACAATGAGCAAAAACAATACCGTAAAGCCAGCTATAAAACGTCTCAGGATAAATAAATTCCTCAATGCAAAAGAGAGTGCCTTTATTTTAGAAAGAAGTAAATTGTTAAGTGACTGATATTCCACATATGTCCCTCCAGCAAAAGATTAGTGTTCTGTATCGCTGTTGACGGCGTAACTCCACAAACAAAACGAGACCTCATTTGATAAATCTTTTGTAAAATACACGATATTTAGAGGCTTTTTTTGTCTTTCTGCATAAACTAGATTTTCAAAACCCCATATTAAATGGATAGAATTTCATTCAAAAGACTCTTACTACTGACTTAAAAAGTTGCCTTTGTCCTTTTTTTACCTTAAAATTTTAGTTTCTACGGTAATTGTGATACACGTGTGCTAACGGTATAATTACTTCTTTGTCTGTTGATGACAATAATACGATTGCTTTATCTCAGATATTGATGTCTACTATGGTCTAAATACTGTTTTGCTGTATCACATCGTTACACTTGTGGTGTTTACAATCTACATTAACTGGAGTGTGGTCCGCACACAAAAACTGCTTCATGAAGAATAAGTTAGGAAGAAGGACACAGAATCGACACTACAAATATTTAGCGGTTACCTTCACCAATTGGTTTATCGAAACTCATCAACGAGATGTTTTGTTTCACGATTTTAGAACTTAAGTTAGGTTTAGTCGTCTGATCTGTATTTTTCTCAAGGAAACGGTAATGTCTTACACAACTAACGCAGAGTTTTATACCGTGAAATAATGAATACAATATATGCCAAAGATTGATTTGTTTGCTTAAATCTAGATGTAATGCATGTACAATTCAAATGTAACATTCAAACATACTGAATTCTCGGCAGAAGAATCGCCGTTAATGCATAACCATTCACCAGGAATTCCTGGCAGAAGAATCGCCGTTAATGCATAACCATTCACCAGGAATTCCTGGCAGAAGAATCGCCGTTAATGCATAACCATTCACCAGGAATTCCTTAGTAAAGCCAAAGTTCAAATCGAGGTATAATACTAAAAAGCAAATGAGCAAAAAGTCAAAAGTAGTCTTTGAAAATATCTAACGTTGATAAAATACAAAAATATTTTTTTTTATTGTAGATGATTTTCCAAGTCTGTACGAAGAGAATTGTAATTGCCCTGTCCCTTGCACATTTAATGCATATCAAAACGACATATCATATGCCTCAACTTCAAGGTTTGCTGCAAATAAATTCCTAGCGGGGAATATTACACAAAAACTGGGAGAAAAGTTGATGGATGCAAATGAGGTAACTTCCCGAATGGACGGGGATAAACTTGAGGAATTCAAAGATCTTTACACCAACTTTTATACAAAATTATCTGTTGTTGAAGATGAATTGTTCGGTAATTTAATAAAATTACTGGGAGAGGTAAAGACACGATTTTCAGTGAATTTCGACTATTTACGATCAGTTTGTTCCTGGAAAAAATGGTTGTATGGGTATCAAGAATATATTGTGCAAAAGAATTTCATCCGTGCACGTGATGCATACGAAGAGCGTCATTTTCATATCATTTCACTTGCGTATACTGAGTTCATATTAATGATTGAAAATAAAATAAGGTCATTAAATTCAACCGTTTTTGCTGACGAAGCTGTCCGCGATTTTCTTTATCATCAAACTATTAATATTTTATTGAATAGACAAGAAATAGTTCGAAGATCACTAATAAATTTTACTGAATTAATAACAGCTTATCGTGAAGGCGTAGGAATATTTAACTATACATATGACTACGCACCAAAGTCACATAACGATTACGCGGTTCCGGTGCATTTGTTGAATGATTCTTTAACGCATAATAGGTATGCTGTAAAATACACTGGAAAGTTTGAAAGTTATTTGAATAGAACTTATGATATTTTAACATTTTTGAAGGAATTAGCTGATAATGCGTATGCAAACCGAAGTGTAACAGATGATGAAATGTTTTATGGGACAGAAGAATTTAGATGGTTAATGAGAAATTGGAGATACGCAAAAGCAGTTACTTATTACGAAGTAGTAGAACGACCATATCGAATATTACAAGATAGACATTCAGAGTTTGAAAAGAAGTGTTTCTCTGCAGAAAATATAATGCAATCGATAGAAGAAACAATACATTCCTTAACAAAAACCATCAGATCGGTTAATAATACACTTTTTGCACCACTTCATCTGATTAGTTCTATTACTGATCGTTATTTTTCTAATTTTGTCGGTACAAAGTTTGATATTGGAACTCACTTTTTATCAAGTCAAGTGAAAAATGGTAAACTTGATCTTGGAAACTTATTGCAATTGATCTTAACGGATGATTCTGACATATCGTCGGAATTAGACCAAGTATTTTCGTCTCATTTAGAAATATATGAAACAATAGTAAATGACCAAGACTCATTTATTTACTACAATTTTTCCAACCATTCCGAATATTTACAAACATTTGAAGATGTAAAACAAATAATAACTAGTAATTATACAGAACTGAAAGCTATGTTACATTTGTATGAAACAGTTGGTGAAGACGGAACAGCGTTCCTAACATCCGTAACAATCTTGGAAGAATACTTTTCAGCATACATGGGAATGATGAACATTAATAATGAATTTATTAAGTAAGTAGCATTTAATTATTCAAATAAAAGTTCAACATGCTTTATATGTAAATCGTTATATATATGCCGTTTCATTATTAAAATGTTTTTATAAAAAGTTAGCTATGACTTATAAGATTTCTGTTCACACAGTTCATATTTCTGGAGGTACTCTCGAAACCATATGTTTGGAATTCTTTAGTTCAAAGTATTTCAAAATTAGAACTGAAAATGTCATACATGTTGGTATGTTGATATATTGTTTGCAATCTGTCTAACGGGATGACTGTCGCAGAGGAGGAAAATAGTATTCCAGAATGTACTGAAATCAAATATGTTTCTCTCAATTTCCTCGTCTTATGATAAACCCATGTATAATGTCACATTGCAATAATTAGGATACTTTAGTTTTTGTAAAATGGTGTAACTTTTCTATGTCACGGATATTTCTAATTTAATTACCGAGAGCGACTTATTACTGGATTTTTACCTGATTGAGCAACACGACGGGTGCCACGTGTGGAGCAGGAACTGGTTACCCTCCTGGGGCACATGAGTTAACCTCCGGGTTTTGGCGAGGTTCGTGTTGCTCAGTCTGTATTTTTTTATAATTGGCCATGGTATAGTCTGGTTTTATGGGAATTGTGATTTTTGAATGCCCCTTGGTATCGTCTCTCTTTCTTACTTAATGACAGTAGCAAGTTACCTAAATAAGTGGAATTGTTTTTTTTCCTAGAAGCTTTCTCTAACAAGAAGGAGTTTACACATGTCGTGAAAAATTTTAAGTTTTCAGATTTTTTCTTATTAAGAGGCGTACTAAATATAAGGGGTTCAGACTTTCAGTTTTGGAAGCATATTGGACATTAAGTCTTAATAAGCTTAGAGTTCGAAAGTTTGAACAAAATGTTTTCTTTTCAGGTTTCCTTTGAATGAAGCAATGGACTTTTCTGACGGTTAGAGTACAAAAAAGATCACAGTACAAAATGTACGCTTTTCATATTTCAAGACACATTTGAAAAAGACTGTACAAAAAGACATTGTAAGCTTTTCAGGAACTATTGCACAACCGATTATGATAAAGTTTAAAAAATCGTGAAAAAATTAACAATGTGACTACACACAAGATTTTCAGGTTTTCATGTCATGGAAATATACATTCGATAACGAAACCAACACTTTATATTTTATTTTCTTAATATGTTTTAGGGAAAATTTTCTGCAACTTGATATATTTTATAAACAAATGAGCTATGAAGAAATTACTCAACAGGAAGCTTATGATCCATTTGCTCTTATATGTGAGTACCATATATAAATTAACCAAGCCAATTGTTAGGTTTAACAAACTGACCTTGGTGTGTAACAAAAGAATGTAACACACTTAAATTCAATGGAATTGCAAAAGGAAGACTAGGAAATAAGCTGGATGTTAAAATGTATCAGAAACTAATAATTTACAAGAAAAAAAAACCAAATCAATCATACATAAAAGCGCTTTATGTAATATTTTGAGCAAAAAGAAATCGTTCTCTTACTTAATGAATCATTCGTTGCATTGCAAAGTTTTTCGCATTAACTAAAAATTCGCAAATAACACGTGGAGACTTTTGCTGGAAATCTTAAGCTCAAAGGTAAAGTTGCGATGAGTGATCTTAATTTACCAAAAATAACAAATTTGAATTACGACCAAGTTTAATAACACTGAGTAACTCATTCATGAATAGCATTCTATAAAAGTACATGTACAGCGTTAAGATACTAAAGAACATTAAGCGGCAAATGAACATCACATATAACCGGTCCTAGGACAGAATCATGTTCACATTAAAACCAGACTTAGTCCTAAGACTGTTTAAATGACTGTTGAAACGTTCATTTTAGACAGGTTATTTATTGAAGTTAATTTCAAAACCAGTCCTGCAAAAAATTAACGTCGACACTGACAGCTCCGATTGATTCAGACATGTTCTAGAGTTTAAGTTTTGGTCTGATTTGCTCAACACTAAGTTTACTTGTAAACATAGAAATTTTGATATGTGTATAAACAGTGTATAACAGTTTGCTGTACTTGAAAAATAGCTTATCTGATATGAAAGGTGCTAATCACGATGATCTGTCAATAGCAGAACTTTAAATAGGTCTGGTCAGGAACTGACCTACATCAAGACCGATCAGTGCTAGACCTGTCCACAGGTCTTGTCTTGATCAGGCATGTCAATAGAACTGGAGCAATTCTAAAAACAGGTTTGGTTCATCACAGATCAAGTTAAATTGTTTGTCTGCTAAAAAATTAACTTGGAAAGCAGTCAAATTGTCTGCTAAAAATTAGGTTATGTACAGGTTAGGACTGCATCGATTTGTAAAACCTGTAGCGAGTAAATATTCTACTTTGTCTGACTATTTTGTTACTATAAATAATTACAATCTGTGTACCAAAACTTAATCAATTATATTTTTCTGAACAAAAGTACATTGTTAATTAGTTTTCCTTTGAAAATCAGTTGAACTCCGTTGATATTAATTATTTTTCTATTCTTTGTACATGCTTGGCACTTATATCAATAGATGATTCCAGGGAATCTGAGTCACACTGTTTGTTTAGCCCAATCTTTGGATATCTGCGTTGTATTTTGTCGATTGGTATTTGTTTTTTCAGTAATAGTTACTAACTTTTCTTTCAGGTGATATTGGAGGATCTATGGGACTTTTTCTAGGAGCCAGTTTACTGTCCTGGTGTGAAATATTGGATTTATTTATCACGAATTTTATATTACCAAGAAACAGGCCTCTAAAATGAAATAATTGAAGACAAAAACGTAATGTGTTATATTTGCATCCACATACTGTACAAAGTTTTGCAAAGTGAAAATATCATTTTCGTTTAAAGTCATTTCAGTCAAATGAATCATTGTCATATTGTAAAACAAATTATTCCTCTGTATGTCATTATTGATAGCTAAATGAAGATTTATTTGGTTGGAACTATCCAATGTGGCATTGAATAAAATATCTTATTCCACTGATTTAAATATGGATAGCGAAATTAGTATTTGATTGATTGAGACTAGCCCATGTGACATTGAACAAAACTTCATATTTCCCTCTGAGTATCATATTCGCCTCTGGACATCGGGACTTCCCCGTGCGATGTTGCGCGCCGTTTATATACAAACATGTACGTTTTGAAATAGCGATATTTAGAGCAATCATTAGCGTGTTCAAAATTATTTCAGACGTAAAAACAAAACAGAAAACAAAAATGTGTCATAGAATAAATAATTTACGTTTCGGCGCCCTCGGGAAATATGAATTTTCTGGGGGTGAACATATATCCCTAAGACAAGGGGAATAAATGTTTATTATTCCACTGTATGTTAAATTTGATAGCTTAATCAATATTTGATTGGTTGAAACCATTCCACGTAACATTGGACAAAACTTCATATTTCACTCTGAGTATCATATTCCCCTCTGAACATCGGGACTTCAAGTCCTCGTGCGACGTTACGCGCATTTAATGTAAGTAACGTTTTGAACGTTTTTAAATTGCGACAGTAAAGTCACTATCGTGTTCAAAATTGTTTCAGACATAAAATAAAAAAACAAAAAAACAAAAAAACTAATAGATAATTATGTTTTGATCGGTCTTGTTTATCAATGTTTTGAATTATTTCGTGTTTAGTTATGAAAACAAGCGGTTACGAAAAATGTATGAAAATTAATGTTTTATGTTCAGGTACTTAATAGTAAAAAAAATATAGACAGTTGAATAAAACATTCATTTCCCTTGGCTTATGGAGATATGAAGATTTCTTCACCCTCGAACAGTCATATTTTCCTCGGGCAATGCTCTCGGGAAATATGAATTTTCTTGGGTGAACAAATCTTCATATCTCCTTCAGGCATGGGAAATAAATGAATAATATTTCCCTCTGAGCTTCATATTCATCTCTAAAATAAGTATGTGTTCATGTTATAAATAAGGTTTGATAAATGAGTTTCTTTGTTCTGCATGCTTTCCTTTGTTCTGTAACATTTTGGCGAGAATGTCAAATTCATACTAAAACTTAGAAATATTTATACGAAAAAGACTAACTATCAAAATTTATGTTGAAAAATTCAGTGTCTATGCTGGGAATCGAACTCAAGATCTTTAGCATATAGACGAGTCATACCCCTACACCAGCACGACTGAAAACAAATCACTGTTAATTTAACATATTTAAACATTGTGTCCGGGCTCATAAAGGGTATATACCATATAGTAATATATAAAGTATATAATAATGATTGTGTGGCGTTCCAAACTAAATTTAATAAAGCGTAAATGTTTTTTATTATCTAATCTAGAACATCTGGGATGTAAAATAGTTATCCCATTCGGACTTGGTGTGTCAGTGTTAGATCACCCTCTGGCCTCCGGTCATTGGGATGATCTTAAACTGACACACCGCGTCCTCATGGGATAACTATTACTTATCCTTTTCCATTTTAGAACGTATTCACCCCATATTCTCGAGTCAATCCTAAATTGAGGTAAATTATATGGCCTTTCAAATACCGTTTCGATCCCTAACATCACTGAAGAGACATTAATTGTCAAAATCCGGATATGGTGTACAAATTTTTGCACCTAATGTTTGCGGTTTACCATCTTTTCCGCAAGTTTATTGTTTTCGGTTTGGTATTAAATTAATAATTAAGATCCATTTTGTTACATCTGGTGATCCGTTTATTTGGCAATCGCCATGGCAGTCAGCAGGGTTTAAGAACATCCGTTGTTCGACTTGCTAGTCAAATGCGTTTTGTTAAAATATACTTTCTCACTTTTTTGGTCTTTTGGAAATGTTGTTTGTGCTGTATTTAGACCCCACTAACAAGAAATTTGTTTTGCATGCACACGTATAAAAATTGCGGTTTTTATCCAACGCAATCATAGTTTTGAACGTTGTTTTCAATTTAGACTTGTTTATATATATAGTTAAATACGAGGAAAAGCATTACCGACTAAAGTTGGTCGAGAGGTCTAGGGCGCTAAACACAGTACAGATGTCTCAGATATAGGGGTTCGAATCCCGTTGAGGAACGATAAAAATTGCTGACACAAATTTTTAGATCTAACTTTGTTGGGCTGAATTTGAGACGAAGTATAAATAAATTATGGTGTAAACCCTGTATAACCACAGGTCATCCGATGGAGAACGCCTGTCATAAGGTTGTCACATATTTAGACGTATGTAATAAGATTGAAATTCGATGTGACGGCATGATAAGTAAAATGATCTTCCTTTACGACAGACAAAAATAGCTGGTCTGCAAGATATATCATCTTCTTGCCACCATACATCATGTACTGGGTTACAACTCTAGATAAACTTACATCTTTATACCCTAGTTAATCGATTGGTGAAGGGTGCAGGACACAGTGCCGGTGGAGTGCCACGATGTCTCAGATGCAGGTGTTCGAACGCCGCTGAGAGCTAACGCAAATTTGCAGATCTAACATTTTTGGGCTAAATTTGAGACCGTAAGTATATATAAGCTATTGTTCTTCCCTCAGCAGGATTCGAGTTCCTGCATCTGAGACGTCGTGGCAACACCGCCTGCATAAAAATATAGCTTTTTTTTGTCGAGTTATGCCTTTCGTCGTCGACGTAACACAGTACACGATGTATAGTGGCAAGTAGATGGTATACCTTTCAGATCATCTGTTTTTTGTTTGACGTAAAGGATAATAATTTTACTTACCATGCCGTCACATCAAATGTTAATTTTCTTATATAAGTCTAAATATGTGACAACATGACGACAGACGTTCTCCATCGGATGACCTGTGGTTATGGTGAATAAAATTATCATCTTGTACGACAGACAAAAAGAAATACGAAATATAGATAGGTTATGGTGTTAGCCCTGTGTAACCACAGTTATCCGATGTAGAACGCCTGTCTTAAAGTTGTCACATATTTAGACGTATACATATATTAATATATAATATGCATATTCTTAATTTCTATGACAATTCCTTTTCAGTAGTTGAATAAATGTGTTGAACCTTGAGTAACTTCTATAAATGAAGAGGTAGACATAAGTTTTGGTCCAGCAAAACAGTTCAACCTAGTGAGCTGTCTGAAATAATAATAAACAGAAAAAAAAGTCAAAAAATAAGACGGGAAGCTTCATTCGATTTAAGATGTAAAACATTGCTTTGGCATAAAATATATATTTCAGCTTTATTTTGATTTTGATTAGAAAATGGTCATCGTTTCAAAAATACTTAAACGCCAGATTATTACATGACAGTATTTATATCAGATGTATTATCAGCCCTAGGCCATGATATCAGTCAAAGAGCCGAAGGCTCGAGTGCTGATATCGGCCGAGAGTTGATGATACATCTGATATGAAAAAATGTCAAATTATAAACTGTCCATTATATACTAAAACTTTTAAAATATAAGTGTATGAAAACGTTGTACTTAAAAATGTCAATCTTTACAACACCATTTAATTTATACAGCACTCAACACTTTTTTCCTGTCTTCTAATAATTGTGGGGGCCTCGGTGGCCGAGTGGTCTAAATAGTTACTACTGTAATCACTAGCCAGTCAACACTGAGGTTGTGAGTTCGAACCCCGCTCGTGCGGGTGTACTCGATTCTAATCTTAATTGACTAGGATTGTCAGTTTTCCTATCGAAGGTCGGTGGTTTTTTCCGGGCACTCCGGCTTCCTCCACCAATAAAAACTGGCCGCCACGAAATAGCCCAAAAGCGGTGCTTAAAAGTGGCGTTAAAACACCAAAAATCAAATCAAATCAATCTAATAATTGTGTTTTATCATCGTGGGTTTCTTTTTCCATTGAAAACGCAACATTCGTACACTTTTTCTAGAATTGACCGAGCAACGACAAATTGGCATGCGATAACGACACGGACAAACAATCAATAATAACCGGAAGTAGTTGATACATTTTTCATATCAGCCAGCTAACCCCCATTTTGAAAAAAATGGAGTTTTCGTAAATTTAATACCATTATTATACTGTAAAATATTATAAGTATATGATAAACCAACTTACTTTGGTGAAGAATCGTTATTTTGCGTTCAATCATCTCAATGCGATTTATATTTTCGTTGTATCCGTATAACAAAAGAGCCATGTTTGGCGATAAGCGAAGATTCATACTCTCGTTATTTTTTTTTTCTTTCGTCTCAATACAACTACCATTCGATTAAGGGAATTCACAAATGTCACATTAAAAAAAAATCTTAAATTTGTAAAGTTAAAAATAGGTGTTTGACTTGTACGGTAATTTAATTAATTCCCTCTAAACTTTCAGCTTTATATAATTACGAAATCCCAGCTGGGCTTATAAACCAATTTTGGTGTGAAAATGTTGTTATATTATTATACATGTACTTTCTCCAAATCAAATGACAAAAATCTGAAATTCTTCCTTTTAATAAGCTCTATATCATCGATATAGTTCAGACCAAATATTTTCCACCTTATATTTCTTTTTTGTATAATTACACAAATAATTATCAGTATGGAATACAAGAATTATTGATTGATTGTTGTTTGCATGACAGTCTTATTAAAATAAGATCTTTCACTTTGCTCCGTAAATTAGTTAATCGCTCTATGAGGACATCCAATAAGGGTCTTTTTGCATCATGTCAAATCTAAGACTACAAAAAGTTTAAAATTTTTTACTATGGACTATCAGAAATGTTATCGGGTAAACAGCGAAGTATTTCCGATTTAGTGCGGAATTCAATGTTTTACTGGGTAATTTCCTGACGTGATTTTGGTTTTATGTCAATCGACCTGATTGTTGGGAAAAAGTAGTATTGCATTTTTCCGGTTTTAGGTTGGCCTTTGTGTACCCAAGGAAGGTGAATGAAGTAAACTTTTGAAAGCTTCGAATGGATGTAAGGGTATGATATAATTTTTTTTATAAATTCATAAATAACTGCAATATAAATGTTGAAACACATGACCATCTCTTTTCTT